CAGTGCGGCTAGCACGCAAGTTGTTTGCCTCTGGACATGGAGGGGTGTTAGCAACATTGTTCGGTTTAAGAAATTTTCTTTCTTTCCTGGGATGAGAAAAAATCCGTTTGCAAACAGTGTGAAGTTTGTATTCATTGCAATCAGGACGTGAGATACCAGTACCGCTCTTACATTTCCCTGATGTGACTCATCCTTTCCAGAGTGTACATTTGGATCTTGCGGTGCCCTTCCCGTCTTCACAGGGACATAAGTGCATTCTTACGGGTGGTAGACGCTCTGACGAAGTATTTATATAAAGCCTTTCTGAAGTCAAAGGAGGTGTCAGAGGTGGCGCGGACATTCGTTTGCACTCAAGTTATCTCTGGTGGGGGAGGGGAGTTCTTGAACGAACTCTTGAAGACTGTTTATAAACGACTAGGAATTAACAAACGGGTAATAACTCCGTATCACCCTAGCTCTGATGGGCAGATGAAAAGAGTAAATGGGGTTCTAACAAAGATTGCGAGAACAGTGGTTGTTGATCCAGATAATCCAGAAAATTGGAGCTCAATGTTGCTTACAACCACTCTGGCTTACAACACTGCTTATCATCGTATAATCAGGGATGCTCTATTTTTTTGCTTTAACGCCAGGGATCCAAGGTGACCTTATGTTATGGTTGCGGAGGAAGTTGCGCCCTGGTAGAATCTGGATGGTTTTGCTCAGGAACAACGAACAATAGGGAATATGTATATATATATTTTTTAATGTCAGCATTATATCGAGAAGGAAATTCGAAGGAGGCCTGCAGACAGTGGGAGATAGGGTATATGATAAGACTGTATCCTGGATATGATGGAAGAGGATGAAGAGGCGAATGTCACAACTGGCTCAAAGTCGGTGGGAAAGCAGGGAGACCTGACTGCTCAGAAGAGTACTCGGGGAAGAAAGAAGGAATGGCGTGGGAGGGAAGGAACCAGCACTCATGGTTTAAGGGACAGGTATAATAGATATTAACCGTTATAAGGAGAGGTGGGTGGTTTTATCTAACATAAAGTCAGCTGAAAACCAGAGGGGCCTGGGACGGAAGTCTGTGATGTTCAGTTGTTCCTGGTGCAGGGCAGTTACTCTATATTGGACCTACTTTTGAAGTGTCACAAGGAAGGGTTCTGGGTTGGTTCGTTTGGCATAAAGTTGGTTCGGAACCAGGGGGAAGCCTTGCTGCTTGGAAGATTAAGCAGGGATAAGGACTGCGATTCTTTAGGAGTCCAGGACGTGAGGACAGTGACCTCCGGGCTTCTGTGGAATCGCACAGGACACAGGTGCTTTATATATCATCTATTCAGTTAATCCCAGTGAGAGTGGAGATGCAAGAATTCAGGGAGCCATTAATGAAATCAGAAGAGTGGTTATATCCTACAGGACTTCAGGTGAAGGACAAATCATTGGTTTTACAAAGGAAATCGCAGAAGGTGCTAGATCAGAGTCGAAACTATTAGACTAATCTGGGGACACCTGTAAAGACTGCTTTACAGGAGACAATAGACCAAATGAAAGAGACCATTCAAGATAGACTGACTTTGCTAAGGGATTTTTCATGACTATTCATGGCAAAGACAGATCTGTGCTTTATTACGGAGGGAATATCGGTGCTGGGAGACGTAGCAAACTTAGTCTTGGGGTTTCTAACAAATAATCGAATAGACAAGCTACATGCGCGACGAGTCCAGGGATCTGTTTATCGAGATGGATTGGCTGGACTGTCGATTGGTGCTGCCGGACTTGTATGTGTGCCCAGTTCAGCAGGGACTGCATTGCTGGGGCCATCTAAGGACGTGCCTCAGTGCAGTTTTCTTCGGCGACCTCCAGGACGATACGACATACGACGAGGCCGTCCTAAATGACTTCGTGTCGGTCATGGTACAGGATCGGGACCATTGGTTATAGAGCATACCTCGTCCGATGGAGATATTCATCACCTGTCGCAAGGAGGGGATAATGAAGCCCCGGGAAACCTTAGAGGGTGTAGTGATACTACAGATGGCTGCTGGATGTCAGGTGGCAGCCCAGGATCTGCCCCCGCTACCCATCTCGACGAGTAAATAGACATCAGAGGTCACCATAATCCACAAACCCCTGTGGCAGGACGCCTCTCACCCAGGTGATGCTGAAATCTTCCAGGAAATCTCTGAAAATGGTACTCTAGGTGAGGCGGATAATTTCCCACGCAGGTGGAAGGGCCTATTCTCAGGATGTGGACCTGCGCCAAAGTCCTCTTGAGAGAAGACGAATGGAAAAGGGAGACCAATGGGGACAAGCAGTTTTTTCACAATAATGTCCCCAATCTCCTTTGTGCATGTAATTTTCAGTGCACCTTACAAACTGTTAATCGCAGAGGACTGAAGGAAACTTGTAGAATTAATAAACAAGTGATCACGGGTGATTCAGAAAAAAGAGACTGCAACTGAAACGCTGAATTACAAAGGGAAAAACACCAGTGGACGAGTGATTTCTCTTTGAAATCCCTAGAGCGAGTCTAAGAGGAGTGGGTAGGTTCCCTAGTTGCGCCATGCACCTCCCAGTAGGGCAGGGGTCGTCCTAGAAAAGAGAGCTTGCTTGCAGGCTCTTGGCCCTAAATGCATGGCCGCCTTGGGATTTATCGCTCTTGTTGGGGTAATCGGGATGATAACTATCGCATTACTGTTATTTATCAACTGAATTACATATATAAGTAATTAGCATAAGAGTTTCAATAAAATCTGCCACCACTCCCTCCTTTTAAAGAAGAGAGAGAAACTCTTAATGACCATTATTCACTTAATGATAAAACGGAATGATACAGACACGATTCGTTAGATTATCATAATTTACTAACACATAACCAAATCCAATACATGTTGTAAATTAATGTTAATAAACACTTTGCATTCCCACCCCTGCTCACCGAAACAACTCGGCTTCCTAAGTCACGAGCACCACTAACTATGCATTAGCCCTTGCCACAAAAATAAGTTCGTCGCACAGTCAAACCGCGATGCTCGTCCCCTCGTGCCACTTTGACCATCTCAGGCTGGTCCCGCGATTTCACTAGCGGTCGTTGTTTTCCATGTCGTTTCGTTTATACTACGACATTATATATATATATATATATATATATATATATATATATATATATATATATATATATATATATATATATATATATATATATATATATAACAGTCTTTGACTAGTAGAAAAAATAAGAAATTTCTTATTTGCATTTATTCACATTTTAATTGAGCAAAACGAAAAATCTACAGATAGGTGGTAAATATATCTAAGATATATTCTTCTGCCTCAAATTAAAACGTAAATTATACGTTGCTCAATTTGACAATGGTTGGCTAATAATGCACTAAAAAGATGAATATCGCTTAATGTGTAGAGTTCCAATAAAGGAAACTTAATAACCAGGATGAATTAGACATTATGGAAACCTGATATGGAGAAATTCTTCATCAGCAATATAATTATTGTTACCTTCACCCTCATCATCATTTTCCTTTTTACTGGCCTCCATACAATCTTCTTCATCCTCTAAACCATCTTCCTCAGGATCAATTTCCTCAAGGAATTGCACAAGATCTTTGTCCTGTCCATGGGCCATGATGCTGTATAATTCCCCAATTTCAGTTTCATTTCCCTAACTCACAACAGAATGTCTGTAGTTGTTGTTTGGTTATCCTCTCAAAAATATATTACGAAATTTCAGGTCAGGATATCATTTTAAAGGATGGAAATCAAGGAAATCATATATTACTAACAATTGTCACTCAGTGTGGTCAGTCATATCTCTTTTTGTGGAGACAAGTTCGCTATGAGGTAGATGTGCCCTAATTTCTAACTCTTTGGAGTTGATTAAAATACCAGAAATGAGGTTATTGCTATGGAAGTGGTGTTGGAATGAGCAGAAAATGATACAAAATTAGATGCATTTGTGCTCGCAACCAAATTCAGGTGACTTTGTCCTCAACTACTGCCAGAGCAAGATTGCCTGGTAGTCATCTGTGACACACACATTTGCTGTACACAAAATGGAGGAGGGGGGTAATTCCAACCAAAAATGTAAAGAAAAAACATCCAAAATTCTTTACATACATTTTTGTGACAGATAAAGATGAGGCAGGGTTCATTCCATTTACAAAGATATATATAATAGTCAGGACGGATGTATTCGACTTCTTTCAGGAATATGACAAAATATATATTTTATTTTTACAAATATAAACAAGAGACTAAAGAGATTAATCATACTGTTCCCTTTTTTTTTTTTTTAATAACTTCATACGTTGAATATTATGACTTGAAGCATGGCAGGGTATGAAAGGCTGTCATCTTACTGTCAACAGGAGTGCAGAGAGGAGCCAGGGAGCCATGTGGCCACTGTTACTTAACTTATCATCCCCAAAAATATCCTTCATTACTATTAAAAAAGCTTGAAAACTAATTTTTTTTTCTATTTGAAAGCTGAGACTTGCAGCCTTGATCAGCTGATAATAAAATAATAATAAGACCAAAAGAAATCACTGTCACACAAAAATTTAAAATCTGAAAAAAGGAAATATTTAAGAAAGGTGAATATCTCACTTTGTTTATGTAATAAGCCATTAAAATATATGAATATTATACTTCACTGCACTGAAGTTTTGTGAATTTTCACTGAATGTGCAGTGGAATTTAATTGCACATACATATACTGTGAAAAAGATATATCACCTCACTTTTTCATTCTAGTGACCTTTAATTTTGTAATTTTGAAACTATCAAGATGGAAATGGTCTTCTATTCAGACACAGTGGTTGGAATATGTCCATTTATCTATTTTTATAAAAAACAAGTGAGAAAAATCACAAAACTCATTAGTGCGTGAGAAACCAGTATCACCAAGCCATAAAACCCTTCAATCCCAAGAATATAAACTACTCTAATTCAGCTAAAACTGGATGAGTTTCAAAGGAAAACCACATAGAAACACTGAATTTGGTTACAATTTTAATTAAAGAAAATCTACATGAACCTTAGAATAGAATCAGAAATATAATGGAAATGTTACACTTATTACAATAAATGATCATGAGTTTTATACAGACATTTTTTTGTGAGTCACTCTTAAAGGTATAAATGATTCTAAAATGACTCAGCACAACAAAAACTTCATCATTGTTCCAATTCAACAACAGACAAAACAAAATAGTAATAACAAGTAATATGTGTGAAAGATAAACAAGAGACGTACAGAGAAATTAAACCTCTTGAACTTCATTTCACATAAAGAAACAACAGAAGTCTATAGAAACATTTTAATCCTTAAGCTTATTTCCTATGTTCTCTATAATCTGGAAATTGTTTCATAAAATGCTAAATCAAAAGTCAACATATTTGAACCTATGGCTGATTAGTTGACACAGAGGAGCCACACCTGTACTCGTAATTGGCTCATTGGATACTTAGTACAAGTGTAGCCAACTATGTGTAAAAACAATCGAACAAGTCGACTCACAGTGGGCATGGCATTTACGTACATGCCATCCCCGGCGGCAATGGGTTAAATATAGCATCAACATATCAATTTTTTTTTAACATGTTACTCCCCCCCCCCCCCCTCCCAACTCCTTCCTTTGGACAGGCAGGATGTCAGACACAATCCAAGTGTTACTCACCAAAAGCTCCAACACCTCAAGTGAAAATGGCACTGTTTAGGTGAATGTATTATATCACCTATATCAAAGGGTAAAAGAGGTTTTCTGCTTATTTGGATGATAGTACTATTTACCAATTGGCCATGTGTGCAACCACATGCTGCAAAACACTCTTACTGAATATGCCAGTAAACCAACTTGGGGGTTATATGTTAATATGTTAATAGTTGTTATACTGATCAATGTTGACTTCTTAAAACTGCTCTAAGTGACTAGCAGTACTAATTCTAAGATTTTTTTATTTGAAATCTATGGCAAAAGAAGAAAATCTGTTTGGAAATGCCCCTTTTTGAACTATATTCTCTACTTTTGTACCGTCCCAGGTTTCAGATGTGATATTAGAAGACCCAATGTATGGTCTAAGCATCTCTTACAAATTAATTCAGTTTTGAAGACATTACGAGTCAACTTAGATAGAAAAGACTATCATGAAAAATATAGTTCTTTTGTTATTTATTTTCATCACAGTTTTGGATTAAGGTAAAGACTGGACATTATGTCAGCTACCTAAATGCTTCAAAGTTTTACTCCTTAAAATTTAACAATCAATATTGTTTATAAGGAAGAATAATTTCAGTGTATGGGCAGTATGTGATATAATCCACATGATTTTGCCAACTACAAGTTCTGTTAATCTAAGAAATTTATATAAAAATGTAGTCTATTTCTAACTGTTTTTCATACCAAGAAAAATGCATTTCAGAAGCAAATTTCCTCCTTCAAAAATTGCTTGTTTGTAATCTGGAATGGAATGAAATTCAGAACATGTAATGCTAAACCCTAACCTATTTTTGAACTATCACAGTATTAAGTATATAAACCAAATGCTTATTACAGTGAAGAACCTTTGTTTTGTTATAACAAAGTGGCATATAAAGAGAATATGCTTTACATTATTATCAATAAAGCCATTATAAGAACTAATCACTATCTATCAGGCACTCATGATTCTAGCAGATGCATCTTATCACCACTGGTCTAAGGCCTTCCAATCATTATGACTCCTGGAAGGTAATGAGCACCATGACTATAATAATAATAATGATAATGACGATAACACTGACAATAATAATAATTATTATTATAATAATAGTAATAATAATAATAATTATGATAATAACACTTGTAATAATAAAGATGACTATCAAAACAAAAATAAAATAATAATCATGACAATAATATCAATAATAAAAAATAATAAAGAGCATTAATAATGATAATGATAATAATAAAAACACTAAAGCCACCACCAACTATGGGCACACTATCTAACACTGCAGTCAGCTCACTCAGTGTTGTAAAATCTTCAACCAAAGCAGGTATAGAAAGAGTTCTTTAGCGAGTCGCACGCTGGTTGTTAGCAAGATCAGATATCTTGTTCTCGGCCAGTGACAGCCTCTGCTCAAGGATGACGACGGTTTGGGTTAAGGTGTCAAGCTGGGTGATGATGTGCTGGAGGGAGCTCTGCATCTGCTGCAGGGTGGCTGCATTGTCCTCCTGGCTGCCTCCTCCACTTTTCTGGAGAGAGAATATTATTTCTATAGTATCCTTCCCTATAAAATGACACATGCTTTAAAGGGAATCCCCTCAAAGAAAAAGGAATCAAAGACATTTGCCTAATCAAAAATAAATCACTCTTAGATGTAATCTATGACAAAATAATAATTTCCCTCAACATCATAACCTATGTTTATATACTGCACTTCACTCAATACAACTAAGGTTGCAAGAGTACAAAGAAAGCAGAGAAAGTCATTGCCACTGAACCTGCCCAATGACAATGGATAACCATAAGTTTTCCATAGCTGACTTTAAAATTTCAGGTCAAGAAATGTAAAGACACTTAATCCTTTAACATTCAATGTTACATCAAATGTACAAAGATTACAACTATCTAAATCAAGATCTGTTATGACCCAAACTATCTATATGTTCAGCAAAATATTTTCTCTAATCTTACCCTCCATGGAGAGAAGAACCCTTAAAATATCAATCTAACTGGCTTCTTCTTGAAACTAAAACGTTTTTTTTTTCTATAGATCTTCCAATTAAATTTAAGCAATCCTATGACTTAGAGCACACACCTTTAAATATAAAATCTAACAATGAATAATTTTTGCATAAGGAATCAACAGGATCCTGTTTTGTGCCTGAGTCGCCTTTCCAATATCAACAGTCCAAATTACTAGTGAAAAGAGTAATCTTCCACACTGGGACATATGTGTGAACTGTTATGAGCATCAGTGGTGGCCTTGCCTATCCAATCATTATACACTTACTCAATCTCACACTAACAGAAGCTTAGTCCCTTGGCTGATCAAGTCACTATTTACTGGGTGGAGGATCCCTGTCTTATCAAAAGCTTACATTTTTCCCAAAGTGTATCAGACTGCAGCACTAGACTGAATAATAAGGAACTATTAACCATAGCTTTTAGTCCTGCTAATGAGCAATGATTACACATAAGAAAAATATAGGAAGAAAGAAAGAAAGAAGAAGAGGAAGAAGAAGAAGAAGAAGAAGAAGAAGAAGCAGAAGCAGAAAAGAAGAAAAGAAGAAGAAATAGAAGCAGTAGCAGAAAGTGAAGCAGAAAAAGAAGAAGAAAGAAGAAGAAGAAGAAGAAGAAAGAAGAAGAAGAAGAAGAAAGAAGAAGAAGAAGAAGAAGAAGAAGAAGAAAGAAGAAGAAGAAGAAAGAAGAAGAAGAAGAAGAAAGAAGAAGAAGAAGAAGAAGAAGAAAGAAGAAGAAGAAGAAGAAGAAGAAGAAGAAGAAGAAGAAGAAGAAGAAAGAAGAAGAAGAAGAAGAAAGAAGAAGAAGAAGAAGAAGAAGAAGAAGAAGAAGAAAGAAGAAGAAGAAGAAGAAGAAAGAAGAAGAAGAAGAAGAAGAAAGAAGAAGAAGAAGAAGAAGAAGAAGAAGAAGAAAGAAGAAGAAGAAGAAGAAGAAAGAAGAAGAAGAAGAAAGAAGAAGAAGAAGAAAGAAGAAGAAGAAGAAGAAGAAGAAAGAAGAAGAAGAAGAAGAAGAAGAAGAAGAAAGAAGAAGAAGAAGAAGAAGAAAGAAGAAGAAGAAGAAAGAAGAAGAAGAAGAAGAAGAAAGAAGAAGAAGAAGAAGAAGAAAGAAGAAGGAGAAGACGAAGAAAGAAGAAGAAGAAGAAGAAGAAGAAGAAAGAAGAAGAAGAAGAAAGAAGAAGAAGAAGAAGAAAGAAGAAGAAGAAGAAGAAGAAGAAGAAGAAGAAGAAGAAGAAAGAAGAAGAAGAAGAAGAAGAAAGAAGAAGAAGAAGAAAGAAGAAGAAGAAGAAAGAAGAAGAAGAAGAAAGAAGAAGAAGAAGAAGAAAGAAGAAGAAGAAGAAGAAAGAAGAAGAAGAAGAAAGAAGAAGAAGAAGAAGAAAGAAGAAGAAGAAGAAGAAGAAAGAAGAAGAAGAAGAAGAAGAAGAAGAAGAAGAAGAAAGAAGAAGAAGAAGAAGAAAGAAGAAGAAGAAGAAAGAAGAAGAAGAAGAAGAAGAAAGAAGAAGAAGAAGAAAGAAGAAGAAGAAGAAGAAAGAAGAAGAAGAAGAAAGAAGAAGAAGAAGAAAGAAGGAAAAGAAGAAGAAATGAAGAAGAAGAACAAAGAAAGAGAAGAAGAAGAAACGAAGAAGAAGAAGGAGAAAAAAGGAGAAGAAGAAGAAACGAAGAAGAAGAAGAAGAAGAAAGAAGAAGAAGAAGAAGAAGTAGAAGAAGAAGAAGAAAGAAGAAGAAGAAGAAGAAGAAGAAGAAAGAAGAAGAAGAAGAAGAAAGAAGAAGAAGAAGAAGAAGAAGAAAGAAGAAGAAGAAGAAGAAGAAAGAAGAAGAAGAAGAAAGAAGAAGAAGAAGAAAGAAGAAGAAGAAGAAGAAGAAGAAGAAGAAGAAAGAAGAAGAAGAAGAAAGAAGAAGAAGAAGAAGAAGAAGAAGAAGAAAGAAGAAGAAGAAGAAAGAAGAAGAAGAAGAAGAAGAAAGAAGAAGAAGAAGAAGAAAGAAGAAGAAGAAGAAGAAGAAGAAGAAAGAAGAAGAAGAAGAAGAAGAAGAAGAAAGAAGAAGAAGAAGAAGAAAGAAGAAGAAGAAGAAGAAGAAGAAGAAGAAGAAAGAAGAAGAAGAAGAAAGAAGAAGAAGAAGAAGAAGAAGAAGAAAGAAGAAGAAGAAGAAGAAGAAAGAAGAAGAAGAAGAAAGAAGAAGAAGAAGAAAGAAGAAGAAAAAGAAGAAAGAAGAAGAAGAAGAAGAAGAAAGAAGAAGAAGAAGAAGAAGAAAGAAGAAGAAGAAGAAAGAAGAAGAAGAAGAAAGAAGAAGAAGAAGAAGAAAGAAGAAGAAGAAGAAAGAAGAAGAAGAAGAAGAAGAAGAAGAAGAAGAAAGAAGAAGAAGAAGAAGAAGAAAGAAGAAGAAGAAGAAGAAGAAAGAAGAAGAAGAAGAAGAAGAAGAAAGAAGAAGAAGAAGAAGAAGAAGAAGAAGAAGAAGAAGAAGAAGAAGAAGAAAGAAGAAGAAGAAGAAAGAAGAAGAAGAAGAAGAAAGAAGAAGAAGAAGAAAGAAGAAGAAGAAGAAGAAGAAGAAAGAAGAAGAAGAAGAAGAAGAAGAAGAAAGAAGAAGAAGAAGAAGAAGAAGAAGAAGAAGAAGAAAGAAGAAGAAGAAGAAGAAGAAGAAAGAAGAAGAAGAAGAAAGAAGAAGAAGAAGAAGAAGAAGAAGAAAGAAGAAGAAGAAGAAGAAAGAAGAAGAAGAAGAAGAAGAAGAAAGAAGAAGAAGAAGAAGAAGAAGAAGAAGAAGAAGAAGAAGAAGAAGAAAGAAGAAGAAGAAGAAGAAGAAGAAGAAGAAGAAGAAGAAGAAGAAAGAAGAAGAAGAAGAAAGAAGAAGAAGAAGAAGAAAGAAGAAGAAGAAGAAAGAAGAAGAAGAAGAAGAAGAAGAAGAAAGAAGAAGAAGAAGAAAGAAGAAGAAGAAGAAAGAAGAAGAAGAAGAAAGAAGAAGAAGAAGAAGAAGAAAGAAGAAGAAGAAGAAGAAAGAAGAAGAAGAAGAAGAAAGAAGAAGAAGAAGAAGAAGAAAGAAGAAGAAGAAGAAGAAAGAAGAAGAAGAAGAAAGAAGAAGAAGAAGAAAGAAGAAGAAGAAGAAAGAAGAAGAAGAAGAAGAAAGAAGAAGAAGAAGAAGAAGAAGAAGACAAACCAGATGGATGGAATGAGAGATCATGGACCGGACCAGAGTGGGCAACGTAGTGCTGCAACAGTTTTCTTGTACGGATGTCATAAATCTGCACAAAAAACAAGGAAGTTATGTATCATAAACCCACTCCCTTTTCTTTTTGTTTTAAATCTTAATATCAATTGAATAATATCAATCAATAATAAAAAATGACAGACATAAAAAGAAGAAGGGAGAGAAGGAAATGAAAATGAAGAAAGAAATAAACATAAAGAGAAATCCTGCAAACTTACTCTCACTGAGCTGTCTGAACCGGCAGTTGCAATGCAAGTTCCCGAGGGATGGAAAGCAACACGTGTCGTTGAGCCTTTGAGCTCAGGGAAAGTGTGAAGTGTGCTTGCTGACTGGACATCGTGAAGCTTGACAGTCTTATCATCTGCGCAAGACACAAGCATTCGGCCATCAGGAGAGAACCGCACACACCGCACCTGGATGGAGAGAATTGGAACTGTTAATGGTGATAATGAGGTTTCCATGAAAACAAGGATTAACAGTGGAGTTAGAATGTGACTTATTCTGAACAACGATCATTAGAATGTGCTGCAGCCTTTGATTCTAAAATGACCCTTCATAATAAAGTAATAACTTTATGCACATAATTAAGAAAATTATAAATATATAATTCCTCCTCAATAACAAGAACTTTTGCAAAAATAGAGACACTACAGCTTACTAAGTGTGTGAGCTACCAGATCGCAATAGAAAAGACACCCTTTCAAATACAGGAAGATGTTTTATTGTCATTTCATCAAGAAAGTAACCAGGATCCTTTGTTACTTACCCAGTTTGTGTGAGATGGCAAAGAGCACTCAAACTTGTGGTTGTGGACTTTCCAAATCTTGATGGTTTTGTCATCTGAGCCCGTCACCAATCGCTGGCCATCAGGGGAGAAACTGACAGACCTTACACTTGCATGGTGTGCGCGGAACTCCGTCGAGTCACCTGTAAGAGATAGATTTTGCTATATTTTACAGCCTTCAATAGGAGAAAAAGCTTTTAAATGTTTCTCATAGTGCACTTAGACAATCACAGCAAGGAATGTGACATGGAACTAAACATCAATAACTTTTAATACAGACTTTTGAGACAGACAACAACTTGACCAGAAATACTTCATTATAGGAATTTTCTTCAGGCAACCATAGCACAAGCAAATTAAGAAGTTTACACTTGCAACAATGTTTTTTACATTTAGAATTACCTCTAATGTTTGTGACCCAAAGCCTCACGGTACGATCGCGTGAGGCTGAGGCCATTAAGTTTCCGGTCGGTGAAAAGCAGACATCGTATACTGAGTCAGAGTGACCGACAAATCTGTGAAGGAAAGCCATTTAAAATCTATCTAGTGTCTTTTTCCTGAAAATGTTTCATATCACGAACAAAGATATTATCTTCAAAAATATATAATGATCTACCTATATAGAATGAATTTCTTTTTTCTTTCATATTCCTTACTTCCTAAAAATAAAGAATGAAATGAAACTGCAAATTACCCACAACTCTCTTGACATAACTTAAAGTCTCATAACAACTCAAACTCCTGAATAACCTCATCGTTAACAGCCATTAATGACTACGAATACAAATCCAAAGCTGCCCAACCTGTATGCTCGAATTTGCTGCTTGAAGTTCCAGACCATGACTGTGTGATCCAGGGAAGACGACACCAGCTGCTTGCCATTAGGACTGAAGTCGAGAGCCGTGACGACATCCCTGTGGCCTCGGAAATGTCTCTCTAGGGTAGGATCCTCACTGCTCATTTTGTGTTATTTTCTTTAAGAGAGACCGCAAAGTCGGGGTTTTAGGCATGGTACTGACACAGATTTAAAAATATGGAATCAGTGCAGTATGTCTTCATAATATTGGTAATTTACCATTGAATATAATTATTCTAAAAGCCTTTCCTACAGCTTTATTGGACTTGATAAATATATCAACATAAAATTTAACTAATACAAAATTAAAGTTTCTGTCCTAGAAATGAACCAATCAAACTCAGCTGCAATTATATAAACATTACCATAACAGATTAAATTTTTGTCTCATGTCAAAATCAGAATATGGTAAAAGAAAACTAGATAGCAACATTTGGGGGATATATATAAATATAAATACACAGACATATACATACACACACACACACACACATATATATATATATAAACAACTTAATTCAATACAATTTGAAATAAGACACGCAAAGAAAATCAATAACATACTGACAAGCTAAATACATTAAGTAGACTGCAAATCCTATTATATCAATACAGATATAAATTATCACATATACTCAAGCTACACACATAGATAAAAAAAAAAAAAATCTCTATGAAATGAATCACAGAAAGAAGGAAAGAAAACAACTTAAGAATCCCTTATCACCTACTTAATAATTAATTGTTTATTCATTTGCTATTACCATTCATTTATCACCACTTACTTATTAATGCCCATGAAAATCACAGAAGTATATAATCAGCAGAAGGACAACTAGATAGAATAACAAGTCTGAGACACTCCTTTATCTCAACAACCCCAAAGATTAATAATTTTTCATAGCTTTCTTCTCAAGAATGGCCGTGTGATATACGTTCAAAAATCAATTAATTCAATACAATTTGAAATAAGATACGACATGCAAAGAAAATCAATAACATACTGACAAGCTAAATACATTAAGTAGACTGCAAATCCTATTATATCAATACAGATATAAATTATCACATATACTCAAGCTACACACATAGATAAAAAAAAAAAAATCTCTATGAAATGAATGACAGAAAGAAGGAAAGAAAACAACTTAAGAATCCCTTATCACCTACTTAATAATTAATTGTTTATTCATTTGCTATTACCATTCATTTATCACCACTTACTTATTAATGCCCATGAAAATCACAGAAATATATAATCAGCAGAACGACAACTAGATAGAATAACAAGTCTGAGACACTCCTTTATCTCAACAACCCCAAAGATTAATAATTTTTCATAGCTTTCCTTCTCAAGAATGGCCGTGTGATATATACGTTTCAGAAGACATCAAATGCATTCAAAATTTGCTTCTTCGTGATTGGCACAGAATTCCAGCAAATTCTCGCAAACTGCCTATCACATAAATTGACGAAATGAGTAAATTTCAACTGTCAACTAGCATGTCAAATAACTTTCTTATCTTTTATTTGCGATGGAGTACACAGACGATAAGTTTCATGGACTTATTAATTCTGCCACTGGATTTATTCACTCTGCCACTGCATATATTCCTTACAAAAGATTTGCAATGGAGTAAACAGATGATAAGTTTCATGGATCTATCTGCTCTGCCAATGCATATATTCCTTACAAAAGAAGGCTGGATGAAACTTAACTATTACCTGCAGAATCTGTAAACCTCCCTGGCAACTCATCACCAATTAAGAAAGCAGTACAAACTCTTATCTCATGGCCATAGAAATCACTCGAGAATGGGTTTCTGCTCTATAGGACCTGAGATCTGTCTTTCCATTCCATATCACTGTAAGTTTTAATAGGATTTGGACAGCAAAGCCAGTGCTATTGCGGTTATTGCATGTATTGCAACGGAGACTGGTGGTCATATCTGAAAAGCTAATGTCAGTCATTACATTGTCTAGAACAACTCTGCCATGCATACACGACAAGAAATAGAAAGTTCTGAAATTACATTACTAGCTTTTGTCTTTATTTATCATTTTAACCACAGATAGGACACATAAAACCAGTGACCGTTTTCAAAGTCGAAGAAACAAGTTGCACAATACAGTAATCTAACGAATTTTTCTTTTTCTCTCTCATCCATACCTTAAGAAAGTCCACAAATCCCAGCAAGCTACAAGCCTCTCGCACCTTTGAAGTAAAACCAAACAAAATAAAAACCTCCACCATAAAAGCATCCACAAAAAACAGAAAAAAAAACCTCCCAAAAATTCAAAAACCTTCAGTACCCAAAACGCCTAGAAAGTCCCTCCTCCTCCAACTCTCACAAAGAAAACACCTCCAACATGAAATAAAACCACGCTCTCTCCCCCCCAAATAAAAACAAAGAAAACCCCCTAAAATACGTACAAGAACCTTCTCAAAAGACGGAAGAAACCCGCGGTCCCGCCTCGTGCGTCGCCGCCGCTTTTGTTTATGTTTACGAATTCGAATTTCCCGCCACGGGGGGGGGGGGGTACAGGGGGTAATGGTGATGGTGATGATGATGATGATGATAATGATAATGATAGTGATAATGACAATGGTAATGGTAATGGTAATGATAATTACAATGATAATGATTATGATTAAGCTGATGATGATGATGATGATGATAATGATAGTGATAATGACAATGGTAATGGTAATGATAATTACAATGATAATGATTATGATTAAGCTGATGATGATGATGATGATGATGATGATGATGATGATGATGATGATGATGATAATGATAGTGATAATGACAATGGTAATGGTAATGATAATTACAATGATAATGATTATGATTAAGCTGATGATGATGATGATAATGATAGTGATAATGACAATGGTAATGGTAATGGTAATGGTAATGGTAATGGTAATGATAATTACAATGATAATGATTATGATTAAGCTGATGATGATGATGATAATGATAGTGATAATGACAATGGTAATGGTAATGGTAATGATAATTACAATGATAATGATTATGATTAAGCTGATGATGATGATGATAATGATAGTGATAATGACAATGGTAATGGTAATGATAATTACAATGATAATGATTATGATTAAGCTGATGATGATGATGATAATGATAGTGATAATGACAATGGTAATGGTAATGGTAATGGTAATGGTAATGGTAATGGTAATGGTAATGGTAATGGTAATGGTAATGGTAATGGTAATGGTAATGATAATTACAATGATAATGATTATGATTAAGCTGATGATGATGATGATGATGATAATGATAGTGATAATGACAATGGTAATGGTAATGGTAATGGTAATGGTAATGGTAATGATAATTACAATGATAATGATTATGATTAAGCTGATGATGATGATGATAATGATAGTGATAATGACAATGGTAATGGTAATGGTAATGATAATTACAATGATAATGATTATGATTAAGCTGATGATGATGATGATAATGATAGTGATAATGACAATGGTAATGGTAATGATAATTACAATGATAATGATTATGATTAAGCTGATGATGATGATGATGATAATGATAGTGATAATGACAATGGTAATGGTAATGGTAATGGTAATGATAATTACAATGATAATGATTATGATTAAGCTGATGATGATGATGATGATAATGATAGTGATAATGACAATGGTAATGGTAATGATAATTACAATGATAATGATTATGATTAAGCTGATGATGATGATGATGATGATGATGATGATGATGATAATGATAGTGATAATGACAATGGTAATGGTAATGGTAATGGTAATGATAATTACAATGATAATGATTATGATTAAGCTGATGATGATGATGATAATGATAGTGATAATGACAATGGTAATGGTAATGATAATTACAATGATAATGATTATGATTAAGCTGATGATGATGATGATGATGATGATGATGATGATGATGATGATGATGATGATAATGATAGTGATAATGACAATGGTAATGGTAATGATAATTACAATGATAATGATTATGATTAAGCTGATGATGATGATGATAATGATAGTGATAATGACAATGGTAATGGTAATGGTAATGGTAATGGTAATGGTAATGGTAATGGTAATGGTAATGGTAATGGTAATGGTAATGATAATTACAATGATAATGATTATGATTAAGCTGATGATGATGATGATAATGATAGTGATAATGACAATGGTAATGGTAATGATAATTACAATGATAATGATTATGATTAAGCTGATGATGATGATGATAATGATAGTGATAATGACAATGGTAATGGTAATGATAATTACAATGATAATGATTATGATTAAGCTGATGATGATGATGATGATAATGATAGTGATAATGACAATGGTAATGGTAATGGTAATGATAATTACAATGATAATGATTATGATTAAGCTGATGATGATGATGATGATGATGATGATGATGATGATGATAATGATAGTGATAATGACAATGGTAATGGTAATGATAATTACAATGATAATGATTATGATTAAGCTGATGATGATGATGATGATGATGATGATAATGATAGTGATAATGACAATGGTAATGGTAATGATAATTACAATGATAATGATTATGATTAAGCTGATGATGATGATGATAATGATAGTGATAATGACAATGGTAATGGTAATGGTAATGGTAATGGTAATGATAATTACAATGATAATGATTATGATTAAGCTGATGATGATGATGATAATGATAGTGATAATGACAATGGTAATGGTAATGATAATTACAATGATAATGATTATGATTAAGCTGATGATGATGATGATGATAATGATAGTGATAATGACAATGGTAATGGTAATGGTAATGATAATTACAATGATAATGATTATGATTAAGCTGATGATGATGATGATAATCGTTTTCTTTAAGCACAATCAAGCGCCGTCATTTTCCCCTTCATTAAAATAAAGGGGTAACTTTCTCTGTAATTCCCGCGAGGCAGGCGTTGTGAGTCATTCTCCGAGTTGGCAATATAAAAGGCCCGATTTTGTTAGAGTTTCTCAGATTTCGGTGGCGGCATCGGTAGAGCGTGTGACTCCCACTTGCAAGACCCGGGATCGAGACCAGAGTAAACCTTCTTTGACTTAGGGAAAAGTTTAACAGGTGTTTCTCGACACCTGCTCGTGTTTGGCGGTTCACGAGTGTTCTCCACGGAGATAACGTCCCCCTCTCGAAGTCAGAGCTCACTCACGTCGGCAGATATGCAGAAAGGCAGCAGCAGGCCACTTGATTACGTAAGTTAATGATCAGTAAGCGGGTTCTGGCTGGCCGACTCGGTAGCTGTTTTGTTTTTATTTTCAACATGGGATTCAAATACAAATTCATACAAATATCATGACACAAGTGTCACTATTATCACCTTGCATTATATCATTATTATTATTAATGCTATTATTGTTATTATTATTATTATCATTATTATTATTATTTAATAATAATATTATTTATTCATTTATTTTATTTGATATTATTTATTTATGTATTCTATTTATTATTTAATAATAATAATAGTAGTAGTAGTAGTAATAATAATAATAATGACAATAATCATAATAATAATAATGATAGCATTGATAATAATAATAACAACAATGATAACAATAATAATGATAGCATTGATAATAATAATTATATAATGATAATGGTGACACTTGTACTACCTGGCACCCTTTCGAGTGCTGTTTTACTACTTACCACCTTTGATATTCCTTTAAGTAAGATGGAATGTAACCTAGATTTATTCACGCGTATAGCTGGATAACAGAATTTTATTCCACTCTCTCCGGAGCGGGCTCAGTGTTGTTAAAAGAATAATGCATCCAAAGTTTACGTAGGATTTCACTTTTTGTAACTATTTCAGTACTAACTCTATTTCAGTAATATATGAATTGGTTATTATAAACATATGAACTAGCGTTATACATTTAATGGGGTTACTTATACAGGAAGTCCCTCGTCCCCTGACGATTACAAGTCTCTCCTTGCAGACACTGAGTGATGTAGACCCTTGTCTATGTCACTTCGTTCGAGTTTCACGGAATTCAGTGCGGTTTTAAATCCTTACGAACGAGCACGTTCGACGACGGTAAGTAATGAACTGCGTCGCGAGTGCCACACAAGCGCCCTGGCCTCTCCTGACCCTGCTGACCCAGCATAGAGCACGATGGTGGTCTTGTTTACAAGACGTGTGGATTATTACCCTTATGTCCCCGAGACAAAGTGTCTATAGGACCTTGTAAAACGCTAAAAAAAAATCCCTGGAGTGGAGTTATCGTTATCATTTTATGTCAGCCTGTTGGTCTGACTGTTCTGAGCGGGAGCGGCTCTTTTTGGACCGGTGTGCTATCATGTCACCATCATCACTTGAAGTTTCAGTGGTGCTGTGCCGTCGAAGCCGTTTAGATCTCCGCCTTTTCTTGCCATCACTGTTGCTCAATGATTCTGATTCAGTGTCCGCGCAGCTGTCCTCATCACCTGAGGATTCTGATATAGTGCGTTTTCGTTGCCTTGGTTTCCGTTTCTTATTGTCATTGTTGTCACTCCAAGTGTGTCCAATTCCGCCTCCATCCTTCTTGTGTCCACCGGCCATTTCCAGCGGGAGACGCGTCTCCTGCCATCAGGTCAGCTCCGTGGGTTTGCTGCTACTGTCAATAGAGCACTGTAGATTTTTTACTCTATAATACATTACCGTGGGTTTACAACTCTGCAATAAACACAACACCGTGGGTTTTGACTCTGAAATAATATGGCGCCGTGTTTTTTTTTTTTTTTTTTTTACTCTTACACAACACCGGGGGGTTTTGACTCTGTAATAAACACAGCTCCGTGGGTTTTTAACTCTGCAATTATGCGAAAAGTGGGTAGGAGTAAGAATTATGGGTTGAGAGCCATTGTTTTCTCAGCGGAGATGACTAATCCACACTCATGAGCCCTTGCTGTGAGACTGTCGAGAATAATTTGCATCCTCTCTTGTGATGATGCTTTGAGACATATGTCATCAGCATAGCATATAATGGATTCCCCATCCCCAAGTGGAATATCTGCCACCAGCAGTGGTGGCTTTTCAACTCTGCTGTAAACACAGTACCGTGGGTTTTTAACTCCATAATAATACTGAGTCGTGGGTTTTTTAACTTCGTGGGTTTTTGACCGTGGTTTTTAACCGCACACTGATTCGAACACAACATCGCATAATGCTGCATTTTTCCGTTTTTTGTTTTTTGTTTTTCGCGGAATGAAGCACACTCGAGAATACCAAAACGAGAGCACGGACACTACATCTGCTCTATATAAGTTAAGTAAATTTATTTACCACCCTGGCTATCTATTTAGGCGTGGGCAATCATGATTACAGTTTTACATATATCTGACACAGTACAGTAGTCTGTGACTTCTGTAATTGTACATGGTAACAT